CAACACACCAGACAACACTCAGGGTCTTGGCAAGGAAAGCTAAGCATCCCATGGCACATGCAAATCCAAATGCCTGGATTTGGCATTGCCCACCACCCACACCAAGATGTGCTAATAACTAAGCAACTGGAAACCCAAGATGGGCCCATGCCTTTCACCACAGCTGTAGCCACAAGAAGTGGCAAGTGGAGACCCAAAGCCCTATGCGTAGAAAATGAAACAGTTTCCTGAAGAATAAATCAACCACAGAGAGTCTTGTTCTTTGTGGGTGTCAGGAGGATGGGCCAGACTCTTTCAGTGGTGCCCAGCGACAGGACAAGGGGCAATGGGCACAAACTGAAGCCTGGGAAGTTCTGTCTGAACATGAGGAAGAACTTCTTCCCTCTGAGGGTGACGGAGCACTGGAACAGGCTGTCCAGGGAGGTTGTGGAATCTCCTTCTCTGTAGATATTCAAGACCTGCCTGGACAAGGTCCTGTGCAGCCTGCTGTAGGTGACCCTGCTTCAGCAGGGGCGTTGGACTAGATGACCCACAGAGGTCCCTTCCAACCCCTACCATTCTGTGAAAGCAAGGTTAAGGTTCCAGCTGGAGACTTACTGCTCCCAGACACACACAGAGGGAGGAAACTATCAGGACAATACACCACAAAAAACCATCTACAAACATATGCATATATACCCTGTAAAGCTCCAGCCATTAAGTATCAACTTCTGGTTTCTTGATTTGAGTTGCATTTACAGCAGCTCCAGTCCCCTCCCAACGACAGCATGCAGCCCCCTTACTTGGGCAGTACATTGTGAATGCTCCATTGATTGCTGGCAGGAACATGGATTAAGGCAGCACATCCAGGCTCAGTGCAAAGCACTTCCTTGCCCCAAATAGTCAGTTAGCAACCCTTCAGCATAAGGCTGTAGGACCCAACCCCTCCATCCTGAGACCATCCCACCACATACGTTTCCAAAATGCACTAGAAATTCAGATTCACCACTCCTGGGGCAGGATGGGGGAAAGTTCCACCTCCCGAGAACATTTGCTGCCTCAATCACAGATAGGCCCCATGTTTTATACCTTGCCCTTCCTCCTCTGATTTGACAGCCTCTGCCCCTATTCCAGCTTTGCTTCTGCCCAGCAGTCTTTTCTGAGCAAAGGGTGCTAAAGCCATCCATTTCCTATTCAGGAAAGCAGCCAGCAAGGTCACTGTGCAAGGGACATAGATGTTGGAACCCAGTATGCCCTTAAGTATGCCTGGGAGCTTGATCCTCACCCCACTAATGCCTGGTCACAAGGTAGCACCAAGCAAAACCACAACTGTGACCCTGGCTAGAAGGGGCTGAACATGATCAGGAGGGAGAGGACAAGGGGAGAAAAAAATACTGCTCATGCCACCAAGGCCAACAGGACAAGGACAAAGCGGTACCAGGAGCCTTGTACTACAGCACAGGATTTCTATTTTGCACAGGTTGGGAGGACAGTGAAGGGTGCCAAAGCAGCAGAGAGGAATAGGCATAGAGAAGGACAGCAGCAAGGCCACCCTTGCACTCACTAACCAGCACTCAGTGAACCACTGCTGAAGCTGCTGCTGTATCTTCTCCCTTACGCCTAGTGCCTCCAGCTCACACAGCTTCCTGTGGACATTCAAGAGCATATGCTGGTACTCAGCTTCAGGATCAGCCTGGTGCAGGTGCTGCAACTCTTCTCCCAGCTGTGCCCAGAGCACAGCAGCTGAAAGCCTCGGGGCTTGCAGTCTGAAGCCTGCAATAACACAAGTGCAAGGGCTTGTCAGAAAGTAAGCACAGTTCTGCACTGAGCATGGAGCACAGGTGAAGAACGGGATGCTGAGAGACAGTCCCACCACCAAGCATGCCCCACACATCCCCATTCCAAAGGCCAGCACCCAATTGCCCTGACCATGCCCCTTGATCCTTTTGCTGCAGATAACACCAAGACTGCCTTATCAAGTAAATTTCTCCCTAGTGCCAACCAGAAGCAGCCATGGTGGGGAAGAAACATTAGGAGCATCAGAAAGAGTTTGTGTGGGGAGTGAGCAGTGTGCGTGTAAACGAGCCTGTAACGAGTTTGTAATATGCATGTGTGGCGCGGCCTGCGCAGCGTCATCACAATGGCACAGGCACTTTCCTGCCTCATTGCCTCCCAAATGGATTTTAAATATCATTCCGAGGACACAATTATTTAAAACGCTGAACTAAACACTCGCTAATGGGAAAACGGCGTGTGGCCTGCAGCAGACATTCCTCATGGGGCCACTCTGCCCGTGTCATCCTCTTCTCCAGCCCCACACCCTGCATGGGGCCACATGGAAGCATCCTCCTCCCACTTGGAGACCATGCAGGGTACCACTAGGGAACTGTCCCGAGCCCAGCCCAATATACATAGCTTACGTGAGAACATAAGATTTTGTCCCCATCCCATTTCTGTCGTCAGGCCCCAGAGAAGCACTCCGCCCTGTCCCAAGTTTCTCAGCACTGGGGACACCACAAGTCAGTGACTGGAGCTCTAACTGTCCCTGTCTGCAGCTCCATACGCAGGTATCAGGAAGCACCTTACCAGACAGCAGGTCTTTCAGTCTCCCCCCGTGTTTTGCAGCAGGTAATACAGAGATATACAGGGAGAGGACATTAGAACAAGGATGCCTTCTGACCCCCATTGTCATATGGCCCTGGAACTAGAGATATCAAATAAGACTTTTTCACACAATTAACTCGTGAATATCCCCCCCCCACCACCACTGCACAATCCCAAGCAGGGGAGATGAAGGAAGCAGCATTATTGTTTGCTACATCCAGGACTCCAGAGTGAGCAGAGTACAAACAGAGAGAATAAACAAGGAAACAAACTATTTGCAACAATCCTTGCTGGGCAGCACATAGATGGAGAACAGCTCCAAGGACACCATGGACCCTCAGTCCCATCACAGTGGTGGCAGCATCAGTGATAACAGAGCCTCAGACAGCAATGTGCATGTTCATGGTGGAGTGTCTGTCTGACCTTTGATTATCACTCATCTCCCATTCTCCAGGCAGGGATTCTGGGTCACCATGAGTTACACACTCAGAGTTACCATTACTCAGAGACAACAACCTACCTCAGACCAAACCAGAAAAAGGAAGGGACATAGACCGGCACCATCCTCACACACCAGCAGTTGAGCAGAGAGGATGAGAGTCCCTTGCTAGAACCCTGGCTGCACTTCAGAGGTTCATATTTTAACAGCTTTGGCATCACCAGCTCATTTTCCTCTGAGTGCTGAACCACTCCTGCCTATGCTATTTGGAACAGTGTCTAATGATGCACCAGAGCAGCCACCTGGCAGCACTGCTGCCAAGGGACACAACAACATGGGAGGAGAAATGCACACAGGTCTGCACACTGGTGCCAGCCTCCATTGCCCAAAAAGCTCCCTCCTCTCAAACCTGCACCACTCATCATAGACCAGAGAGATGCTCTGTCTCACGGTTCTCCACCCTATGAGAGAAAACAGCACATACTCTTAAGTCATTGTTCTCTTACAAAGAGGAAAATAGAGAACACAGGCATTACTCATACTTTTATGAACACTTTGGCTCAGTTTGTCACACTATAGTATTCTTTTTGAGTGTTTTGAAGAGTGGACCAAGGTGGGGAAAAAAAAGGCTGCTTCTAACCCATGGGCATGTATAGCTTGGTAAGAACAAATCATATGGACACAGGCATGAGGCCAGTGACATGTGACATGTTAGTGCTGCAGTGTTGCAGCACTAAGAACTCGCTTGGAGACTTGCAAGGACACAGGGAGATGTGGGAAAAGACTCACACGGATCAAGGTAGTCCCAAGACACTTTGGAAGAGTGCCTGCATTGGCTCCAAGTTAAAGGTTTGCTTTTTACTGCAACCTGAGTGCTTCTGGGTCATTCTCGCAGTGAATGTGAGTGATTTCTTGTGAATCCCTGTTGGCTGGCACAGTCTACCTGCTCCTCCCAAAGCAACTTCATTCAGATTTCATCTGATCCACTAGATCATCATGGCACAAACAGGGCATGAAGCCACAAGTCCAGTCTGGAAGAAGCTGAGCTGCGGAGCAGTCCTCACAAAGGTGAATCCATACTAAGTATGCAGAGCGATCGCTCAGGAAAGGAGGATTGTTTGGCATCCTGCGCAGGTGTATCAAGGCAGCTCTGTGGGGACATACTGTGGGGAAACATGCAGCATGACTCCTGCACAGCAGAAGATGAACCCGCCCCATATGGGAAATGCAGAAAAGACAATCTGGGCAGGTTCATTGCAGAACTCACCATTTCAAAACCAACCATCTTCCTCTGCCTCTCAAGCTTGGTGCATCTGTGCTGCAGGCTGCCCTTCCAGATCTGTGAGGAAACACAGGAATGTAGTAAGGGACACAATGAGGCCAGTCACCAACTCTGTCCTTCTAGACTTTGGGAGGTGGGGTGGGGGGAAGTGGGGGAAGAGAAGATATGCAGCAGGATGCACAAACTGCAACACTGGAGAATCAAGCACCTGCACCACTAAAGCTTTACTCCTCTTGGGCTCACCCAGTGCTTGATGACCAGATGCTTCCAGGAGGCAGCCACTCATCTCCCCATAAATCAGCACCTTAGCCACACAGTCGGCCAGTTATCTGCTAAGAGAGCTAGGGTATCATCACACAGGGAAGTTTCATGGTCCACAGGGAGGCAGCTTGAAGCTGTGCAGTACCCGGCTCCTGCCCATGCAGTAGAAATATATTTGACATCAGGTAGTCAGAGAGAACCACCTCCAGGGCAGAAGCAGAACTGCAGTTCCAAGCTATTCATGAGCCCTCCCCACAAACAGCACGACTGCACTCCTAGCCCAAGGAAATGGGAGGTGCTGCTGGAAAGTGGGAGTAAACACAGACACTGTGGCCTAGGGAGCAACAGAAAAGACTGGGCAAAGCTCACCACCTAGATGCAAACAGCAGCCTGCTCATAATCCCACACTTTGGGTGGACTGTCCCAGGCCTGCCTTCAACACTCCACATCCATCTGAGCCTCCTCCATGAACCTGGCTTGTAGGCTGTCCTGACACAGCCGCTCTGCCGCCCGCGCCAGCCGCACAAGGGCTAGAGGAAATAACAGCAGCATAGCCCTGTTGGGCAAGATACTGCTCCAACAGCTGTGCTTAGGATCAGTTACAGATACAGGCAGGGCACTATGAAGAAAATAGCACTCTTCAATGCTGTGCTACAGTCAAAAGGAAACAGAGCACCCAGTACAATCTCTTCCCTCCCTCCTCTGGGCAGCCCCACACCATAGCAGCAGGGCTGGGACCAAAGATGATATGCTCAGTCCCAGTTCTGCTGCCTCTTGTACTCTGTCTAGAAGCATTACATACATCTTGTCTGGAGCACACTACTGAGCCAGACTGACCCTGATCAGACAGAGACAAGCACCTGTCACAGCTCCATAGCTCACAAGACTCAGCATCACCTCACAAGCCTTGTGAAGCCCAGGATCACCCCACATACTGTCACCTGGGATCTACCACTGCTCTAGTGCCTCCTGACACTCCTATACTGATTTCTGCTGCAACCAGAAGACCTTTGGACCAGGCATCCAGTCCCAACATGAAGTTGGTGAAGGACCTCCACCACACCTCCACCCAGAACACTGCCCACGTCTTTTCTTCACTCCACCACAGATCCTGAGGCGGCACCTCCATGCAGGAACTTGGGGACAGCCCCATACACCCTGAGAAGGTGCTGCACACATCAGGCAGTCAGGCTGTCCCACTGCAGCCCAGGAGGTCACACACTCCACCATCACCCCGGACACAGCACTCAGCCCTTGGGCTGCACACGCTCCATGTGGACCACTGTCTCTGACAGAATCTGCTAATGCTCCCTTCAGGGCTCTGGCTCACTCACGTAGAAAGCAAATGGGAATATGAACTTCCCAGTCAGCCTGGGGAAAAACAGACAGGGCCAGTCATTAACATGATGGTCCAAGGCAGAACGCAGGATGCTCAGTCCTAGCCCAGTTTACAGCCCTGCAGGACAAAGTTGTCTCTTCAAAGCCACTGGAAGCACAGAGAGATAAGGTTCACAAGTCCTAGAAAGAAAATACCATTTGTTTTTCCTGTCAGTCCAGCTCCTTTTGCACTGTTTTTTCCTCCCCGACATGAAAAGATTTTCGCTGGGAGGAAAAAACAAAACAAAAAAACTCCCAAACAAAAAAACAAACCAAACAAAAAAAAAAGTAACCAATTCCTGTCAGTCCAGCTCCTTTTGCACTGTTTTTTCCTCCCCGACATGAAAAGATTTTCGCTGGGAGGAAAAAACAAACCAAAAAAACTCCCAAACAAAAAAACAAACCAAACAAAAAAAAAGTAACCAACCACCCCCCAAAAAACACCAAACAACCTTTGAAAACAGTTTATAAACATAAGAAAAACCCTCTACTCACTGCTAACTGCGCCCCACTGACACAGAGGGATTTTTAGCAATCCATCAGGAACTTGAAAACTGGAATAAAGAGTTTGAAAAACTGTGGAAGAACTCACCCTGCTTCCCAGAATGACCCTAGCTTTCAACAAGTATGCCCTACAGTCTCTACTCCTAGTTGTATTTGGTTGTTTTCAAACAGCAGCTGTTCATTGAGTCCTACCAAACAATCCAGATGGCCACAGTTCAAACTGCCTCACAATTTATGATACAAAGATTAGAGGCATGATCTGTGTTATTATATTTATTTGCAGGCAGCCAATAGGAGATTTTGCCTTTTTAGTTGTGCAAGACTGAATACCAACTCCCACAGGATTCCACAAGAAAGAAAGTCTCCATTTATGATGTCCATTAACAACTAGCTGAGAACTGGACAGCTCAGACAAATCAACCTGCTATTGGGTCCTCTATAGTGGACATATAGAGCTAATTAAAGCCAAAGTGAATCTTTCTAAAAATTATAAGTGACAAGTCTGTGAGATTATCAATCAAGCCTGTGATGGTGAAATAAGATATACTCTACATAAACCACTTACGTTCCAACCACTTCATTTATTACTAAGCAAGTCTTAGAGCAGGTTTCCTTTATTTTGCCTGGAATTCATTCTAGGCTAACTGACCCACACCTAACCATGATATCCTCCTTTCCCAGAGTGAAACGTGTTTCTTCCTGATCGTTTACTTACAATTTCCTGCTACTCCATTTTTTTTTTATTTTTTTTTTTAAAAAAATGTCAGCAGACCAGACAACTCCAGCCCATTTTTCCAAAACCCAGGTAAAAGTTATGGACATACTGACCTTGAAGCAGTTGTCCCACCTAGCTGCTATTTAACAGCTTTTTTAACCTACAAATAAACAAGGAAGTAGAGTGCTTTTTTAAATCATAATTTTAGTCAAATAGAAAAGTTTATTAGAAACAGGTGGTATTTCTGTACTTCTGCGTACTTGGTCATTCCAAGATTCTTCTGTCGTCCTTTAGATGTAGAATCCTGTATTCATTTCTCTGCTACCTACAGATTCATTTAATCTCCTTTATGCCTACAGTCAGCAAGTATTTTCCTCTTACCATTTATGTTACATTTTTGTTACACCATCCTTTAGCACCTCAGTTCCAGCTTTCTGTGAAGCAGGTTTGATTTTTCAGTCCAACTTTGAGTCTCTTTCATCAACAGGTAAACATCTGAAAAGGTTTTAGAACACTTAGCATTTTATCTTGCCCCCTGCTTTCTTGAAACTAATTTGACAGGAAACTTTACTTACAGTTTTCCTCCTTTGAAGTATGACCTTTTTAACAGAAAAGCGTTCCATCTGCTCAACACGCTTACGATGAGGACAAGACCTTAACAGCAACCAACTTCAGAGTGTGGTGGCTAGTTCACCCTTATTCATTGCAAAGTGGCAAGACTACAGGTAACTCCTTTGAGCTGCAAAAAGCTGTAGTGGAAAAGTGCAGAATATTTAGGCACTGCAGCAACTTCAAGTTCGTATCAAGCTTCCAACTTGCGCTCCCAACACTGAGGTTCCCCTGGAACTTCCTCAGAGGAGCACGTGAAAGGTAATTCAGTACTCTGAAGCCGGCAGGTTTCTGCTCAACCCTCTGCGGATCGCTAGTTAGAACCGGTCCAACACACCCTTACGTGGGCTAGGTCCCAGGCTAACAGCTCTTGCAGCGGCCGGCAGCGTGCCAGGAGCACGCTTCACCTTTTGGAACACCCGCATCCCTCCTGCCCACGTTCGGATGCGCGGTTTGCACGCTCACCCCGAGGGAACGCCCAGCCCGTTCCCGCAGAACGAGCGTGCCGCCTCCTCTCAGCGAGGA